AGGGGATCTCGTAGTCGAGCAGTCTCGACTAGAGCTTTCTTACTTGTTTAAAATATTTTATTTATTATTATTATTTGTATTATTTAATTTCATGTTTTCTTTGTGGCTTTCGGGCCTAGCCAGTGTCCCGCGACGCGTCGCCAATGGCTGTCATGCACTCTAATGAGGTGATTCACATGTTACGGCACCGTCTTAGTCATGTATATCGCATATCAGGTGCGTTTTACTATAAACATAAATTATGTAAGTTTGTTATATGACAGCAATTCATATGCTTAAGCAGTTGCATAGGCGGAGTGCATAATAAAGAACTAGGTGACTTATTAAATTTAACTGACACTATAAATAAATAAATAAAAAAAATAAAAATAATAATAATAAATAAAATTAAAAATAAAAAATAAATAAATAAAGAAAATAATGAAATACTGCCTGACTAATTTTATATCATAAATAAATAAATAAAAAAAAATAAAAATAATAATAATAAATAAAATAAAAAAAAAATAATAATAATAATAATAATAATAAAATACTGCCTGACTAATTTTATATCAGAATTGGAGCTTACTAGAAATCAAATATAAATTTGGCAATTTAGCTGAAGGCCAAGTTAAAGGCAAAGCTTATTCAGGCTTTCTTTATATTTAATAAATATTAAATATTTATGCAGGTCATTAGATAAGTCTATAGACTAATTGAAACATAACTTTTCCCTCCACTCATCTTTATCTCTACTTCAGCAATCTCGCACTCATTTAGTATCTTAATTATTTTTACAAGCATCTCATATTTAATTTTATATTTTGTAAGACATTAACTGTGTGTATACAATAAACTGGTTTGCTTGCACGCAAAGCTGTTCAATTAAATAACTTTCCGGCAGTTCGATGTCCTTTTCAAACTTTTTGGACTGTCCCTTATTTGGTTGATTTACAGATATTGTTTGTTTACACTCGTGTTAGGTTGCTTAATCATCAATGGGTATTTCCTAAACACAGCAACTTTGCCATTAAATTACATTTAAGTCGTATTACACTAAATGTGCTTCAGCTGCCGCCTACCTCAATGTATTCAATGCGATTTGAATTGCTTTGCTTCGCCTCGCTTTGGTTGGCAACGTTTTTTTTTTGCGTGGACTCAAGCGAACAATTGCCGAAATAAGGTAAAACGCGTGCAAAATGTCAACAGAAGGACAAACTCGAATACAACAAACAAATTAGAGTGTAAAGCAGCTGCAGCAACAACAATGACTACTACAACAACAACACATTAACAACAATAACAGCCATAAGTAATAATTATAATGCTTCAACTGCTGATCATAAGCAGATCGACAGCCTGGACGACCCTGGACCACAGCGACGGCAACAGCTCCAAAGAGTGTGGGCAACAACAACAACAACAACAACAGCAACATCTCAATGCGTGTGCGAAAAAAGTAAACAAACGTTTCATAAAAGCAAATAAATGCGTGAACAACGACAAACAAACATGGCCAACACAATGCTGATAAAGGCGCCTTTTAGACCCAATTGATAAATATACCCATTGCAAATAATTAGTGTTAAGTGAGGGTGTTTTAATTCGAAGCAAAGGCATGTAAGAGACAGAAGACGGCAGGGTTCGTATAGATAAATATAAATATAGTATATTATTTTTAATCAATATCAAAGATAAACATATGAAACATCTTTTTATACATTCATCTGTCTGTCTGTCTATCTGTCTATCCAGCTGCCTGTCTATCCTTTCGATTGTCTCTACAGGTCTTCAGTCTACCCATCCGTCAAAACATCCATGAAAAATAAATGATATAAGACATAAATATTGTTATGTATGTATTCCCTTTTTTCAG